GTGGATGTGCGGCCGAGAGACGGTTGGGCGACATCAAAAGAAGACTGGAATTCTTCCAACAGGCCCAGAAGTTGGGAACGCTGGCCTGGCGTAAGGTTGTCGGGAATGGAGGGACCGAATACATCATCGGATGATGAAGCAGATGTTGAAACAGCACTAAGCGTACTGGAACTTGAGCAGTGCATGTCATCGGGTTGATCCATAACTTGTTCGTCTTCGATGGGTTCCACGCTGCCGAGACAATCCCCTCGCACCAACGTAACGCTGTACGGGGATGAGTTCACTACAAAAATAGTGGTGCTGCCGTAAGTGAGTTGCACGGTCGCGAAAGGAACCAGCAAGCCTTTTCTTATGAAAAGGCGATGAGATGACGAGAGGAGCGTAGCGGTGTCAGAAAGGCTTGCGCAGTAGACCGCCACCGTCGCGGACGAGTTTGCAGGCACTTGGGTGTCATCTCTGACGAGTAACTTGCTTGCAGCCCATGGACTGTCGGCCGGCGTCAAAGAAGAGAGTTGTGTGAGTTATATTTCTGCTGGTGCGCAATGAATGAGGGTGTCATGGCGGGAGAGAAAATTCCATCCTAGGATGACGTCGTGAGAGCATGAAGGAATTATGATGAATTCGACTGCATACATCACGTCCTGAATCATAAGGCGGGCTGTGCACATCACCGTAGGGTGAATGCTTTGGGCGCTGGCTGTACGGAGGGAGAGCCCGGAGAGTGGCGTGGCCACTTTGTGCATTAATCGGCTAAGTTTTGCGTCCATGACGGATACGGCGGCTCCAGTATCTACAAGGGCAGATGCACGAACGCCATCACAAGTACATCTATCACGTTCGATGGGCTTTCCTGAGTGCTTCTGCAGTTCGCCAGCGTCGCAGATGGACTGCGAACGACTAGTTTTCCTGGTCGCCCTCGAGTGGACGTGGCCGCATCGGCGACAGTGAGCAACGTCGCGGGGATGGTGAACGGCGGGTAGACGGAGCGGGGCGGGACGATGGTGACATAGGCGGCGATTGGTCATAAGAGCGGCTTGATTGGCTGGGAAAGTTCGAGGCGACCTGCAGTTGCTGCACACGATTGCAATAGCGTGCTACGTGACCGACCCGACCACAAGCAAAGCAGATGGGGTGATTGTCAGCAGTGCAACATCTGTTCGCGGGTCCCATCCATGTCGCAGAATGCGATGGGCGAGCCGGCTGCTGGTATGAGTGCATTGTGGGTGGCACTCGGGGCCCATGGGGGACGTCGGCGTATGTAGGCGACACAGTTTCTCCGAAGGCCTGGGGCCTCGCGGTGGTTTCGGTGTAACTTAGGGGGTAAGCCACAGAAATCGGTGGGGGCGGCCTGGCTACAACTTGGGCGTAGCTGAGTGGCACAGATACAGGAGGCGGCTAGTGGTATTCAGGAACGACCTCCGTGATTTCTTGCTGAATGGCTCGGCGGAGTGGAGGTAGAAGTGTACTTGATGGCTGCTGAGCATGTTGCGGCGGAGCAAAAGCCAGTAAGGAGACCTGGCGGGCAACTTCTTCACGCACGAATGACTCGATTTCGGCGAGCAAGGTTGTGTAGTCAGGAACTGCTGACAAATCCGAGAGACCAGCCTCACGTGATGGTGGTCGACGGGTCATTAAGCGCTGCCGCCGCAGCTCATCGTAACTTTGGCATAATGTAATGACTTCTGCCACAGTGTGAGGGTTCTTGGCCAGGAGCATGGTGAAGGCATCGTCGGCGATGCCTTTTAGAACATGCGTGATTTTGTCAGCCTCTGACATGTTCAGGTCGACTTTCTTGCACAAGTCAAAGATGTCCTCGATGTAACTTGTGAAGGACTCACGGGTCTGCTGTGCTCGTTCATGTAAACGATGTTCGGCTTGCAGTTTACGAACGGCAGGACGGCCGAATACGTCGACGACAGCGGTTTTAAAAGTGGACCAGGTCGGGAAATCAGATGCGTGGTTGTTGTACCACATTCCGGCCACACCCGCGAGGTAGAAAAACAGGTTACCGAGTTTAGCAGCCTCGTCCCAATGATTGGGGACGCTCACGCGTTCGTACATGGCGAGCCAGTCTTCGACGTCGGTGCCATCTGCGCCGGTGAAGACAGGAGGGTGAAGACAGGCGGATGCGGGGGACACCAGGACATGGCGTCGGCGTAGGAGGAAGCGTTTGCTGAGCAGCGTCCTGGTGTGTGGTAGAAGGCACGGTACGGGATCGAAGCTCCAAGGGCATCGAATGCGAATCAAAGATGTTTGAAGGGCACCGCACTCTCAGCACTCTCCACCAAATTGTTAAGACGTTTATTGGCGGACACTCGTCGATGATCCACGACAGCAACAGTCAATGCGGGGACCGACTCTCTGCACGAGCTGCTCTTCTTCTTATGAAAAGGACGACCCACTAGAAGGCACTGGAGAGGACGAACCACTGTTCGAAGGCTTTGCCACACAATTAATAACGGATGTCCTGTGAATTGTCAATAAATGCAAATCTTCTGCAACTGCCCCCTCATGCGTTAGCTCAATGCACATGCGCCACTGCATGGAGAGCCCTCCATTTGTTTAGCTTTCATTAATTCGAACTTCTTTTACCTCGAGAGAGAGAGGAAACTTTATTAGAACTTGGCCGGCAGCTTGGTCTTGGTGGCCTCAGATGGCGGCGCTGAGTCCCTGAACTCGGGCGGCATCTTCGGCCTGCCGGACAGCCCAGAGCTGGTCGTTGAGCTCCGAGCTTCTGAGCGCCGCCTCCCAGCGGCGGCGTCGCCGACGGAGAAGGTCCCCCGCGGCTCCCGCAGACGGGACGGCGGCGGGAACGAGTGAGCTCGAGGCTTCCTGTTGCCTGGTATTGGCAGCCGCCATAGGCGCATCGCGAACGGCGGCCGTTTCTCGACCATTGTTACCGGCGCATTCCCAGAGCATGTGGCGCAGCGTTGCTCTGCGCCCGCATGCTTTACATAGATCGGTAATGTGTAAGTGCGGGTAGCAGTGGCGTAAGACGACCGGGCTGGGGTAAGAGTGGGTTTGTAGTAAGCGATAGCTTATGGCATCGTGTCTGTTTAATTTGTCATGCGGTGGCGGGAACTTTCGCCTTTCCAGTCTGTAGTGTTGTGTAATATCTCGGAACGTGATGAGACGATCACCCCACGACCATTGTGGTCTGTGTTGTTGCTGCGTGTCTGTCGAAGTGTCTCGATCCGGCAGATCAGAAGCCCCGTTCTCGGGAGCGGAGGCGGCGGCCACGGAATGTGCCGCGGCTCGGCGAGTGAGACCTCGAGCCGCGGCGTGGGCCGCCTCGTTGCCCGGAAGCGGGACATCGGTGTGTGCCGGGGTCCAAAGGAGGAAGACTGTTAAATTTTGTTGTGGCGATCGCGACGCTGAGTCACCATCACCGCACATCTTAAGGATGCGGGCCGCTTCCCGCGAGACGCGGCCGCGCGCGAAGCCGCGGATTGCTGTTTGCGAGTCGCTGATTACGATCGTAGCGTTCGGCACCGTGGCGATTGCTAGGGCTATCGCGGCTTCTTCGGCCGCCTCCGTATGTCCCGTGGTCACCGTGGCGCTCGCGAGGCATTTGCCCGCACGGTCAACGACCGCAGCGGCGTGTGCGTGTCTCCCGTCCCCATATCTCGCGGCATCTACGTACACAACTTCGTCGCTAGTGCCGTACTTCTTTTGAAGGTCACTAGCTTGCTGGTTACGGCGCCCGACGTGGTGCGTCGGGTGCATATTCTTAGGAAGCGGCGGAACAATTAGGCGGTCGCGAACCGAGGCAGGAACATCCGCTTTTTCTCCCTGCTGAGTGTGGTACTGGATGCCAAGTGACTCGAGGATGTGTCGACCCGTCTTAGACCTCGAACCCGTCTTTTACCTCGAACAAATTTTTGAGCCCCTTCGTATTCGAATTATCGAGATTCGACTGTATTTGGCTTATCCACAACGACAAAATAAAGAGGACAAGCAATTTTAAACCACTGGTTTCGTTCATTTGAGAGGAAATGAGATTAGAAAAAAAAGGCAATGAAAGTTTTTTGCTTTATAAGTACGCCTTTACACTCATTTCAAATATGTACTCATTAGTTTTATAGTAACTTGCACAGTTTTCATTTTGTGCCATGAGAATGTAAAACACATATTTCGTTTTGAAAAAACTTTTTATGCCATTAGTCTTTTACGGCCCTGACCCATCAATGGCCCATTTTGCTCCATATTAACTGTAGAATGTAAATAACTATCAAGAAAGTACATATAGGACATTTTGATGCCCAAGAAAAATTGTAAGAATCCCTAGAATACTCAGCCCATACCAATTGCTTAGTTCAGGTTCATAATAATTATATACAGGCAATATTAGGTTTTAAACTATACTTGCAACCCTCGCATTATAAAAAATATCTAGACGAAATTTCATCCTGATGAGGCTATCAGAAGTACAAAAAAAATTATGTGTAATCTAAAGTGGTCAGTCAAAATGGATCTAGAGAAAATTTCATATTGAAAATATAAGTCAAAGGTGATCTATTCAGCAAAAATATGTTTTTCAAAATGATTTTTTCCATTATAAGAGCTCAGCAATCATTGTTTTTTTGAGCATGTGGCTTTAGTGAACTCCTCACGCAAAATTGTTACCTGGCAAGCCGCCAGATGACAATTTCCAGCGGACTCTGGGAAATGAGCCCTTTTCAGTTTTTAGTAACCAACTTGTCCATCTTTAAAAGAAATTTAACCTACTTTGATTTTAATTACAATCTTGTTTTTTGTTGTAAAAGTAGAGAAACTAGACTTGTGAGAGCAAATAAAAACAAGAAATATGTAATTTCGAAAGAAAATAAGCGTGCATTTTTCGCCATGCACCTCCCCTTAACGGGTGCCTGGGGCCTCTTTGAAGTTCGGATGTAGTAGTTACACTAAGCAGCATAGATAGATGAATGCACAGCCCTAAAACTTTCCTCTCTCTCGAGAAGTTACACAGACAATGCAAGCTACAAGAAAAATTTGCTCACCTTGTTCTCCTGCTGCTCCTGTAGTTGGCGAAGGTCACAAGTAACAAGTCAGTAAGGCACTTTGTAAGTTTTCATTCTGACGCCTGAAATGAAGAACATCAAAATCGACAAGGTTTCCCAGCTATGAAAGGAAAAATTGGAATTGCGTATATAAAAAGGCGCTACTAGACTAATATAAGTGGAAGAGTTGGCACAAAATATTGCATGAACTACTGACATCACAAACTTGCGACAACAAACCAGTTACTAAGCAACTATAACAATAATGAAAATTTTCTTGAAAAAGAAATCTAAATGAGAGATCTAACATTTTGAGTATACAAATACAGCCTAACACAGATAAGCCGAGTCTGAAGTAGACCTATGTGCCGGTTTCCAAATCACCAGTGGTGCGACAGTGGGTGAGAAGGGGGGGGGGGGGGGGTTGATGCAAGATTCAAAAGCCAGCAGGAAGAAAACTTCAAAAAAAAAATTTGCGAAAAAAAAGAAGGATGGTTTCCACAAAAGGGTGCAGCAGTGAGAGTGATTGCAACATGTAATGTTAAAACAAAGTTCTAGCAGCGAACTCTTTTTCATCCGGTCTCGTGCAACTACAAAACGCTGGTGTATGGGCATACAGCTGCTCTCGAGGGGAAAAAAAAAACTTTCAGTTTGCCGTATAGGTGGTCCCAGCACAAAGTGGTCCCAGCACAAAGTGGTGATACCATTGCATAGAAGGGTATACGAGCTGTTTTCCGATGACATGACAATTTTGCATGCACGCCTATGCTCCCGATCACGCCCTTATAGTCTATGTTCTCACTCGGCTTGAACCACGTAGCCCCCTATCTTTCATAATCCTTCGTTCAGTGAAAGATTGACAGAGTACTTCCTGCCCAGTTGAAGTGCAATGGACAACAGGCCTCACATGCAGAGTGATGTAACCACATGTGGTCTCCTTGTGACAAAGATGGGCAGTTTGTTTCATCTAAGCTTCAGCCGTGTTTCTTGCTAGCGCTCGTGGGTACAGCGTAAGATGTGCATACAAAAGTTATTGATTAGGACTTTATGCAGAACGTGATGGCATGATGAAAATATATATACAAAAGGTTACCCCCCCCCCCTTTCTTTTTTCTGGAGAGTAGCAATGTCTTCGCTGTAAAAAATTTGTCCTTTAGAAGTATCGAAATCTCCGGCGTCTCTTCCAATGATTTCATATCTCCTACAGGCAATATTTTTTCGACACTTAACGCAAAGCAGGCGGACAATGTGAGCACTAAGTGTTCAGCCTATCAGGATTTCAAGCTTGTCAGCTACGCTCAGTCCCCTCCGCTTGACTAATCAGAAACTCACATAACGGAGCAAGATCAGTTCATCGTGCACAATAATAATACAAGGCAAGAAAGAACAAGTGAGCAAATGTATGGGAATGCAGGATGAGAGGCAAGTCCCAACTGATATTTCTCGTATCAACAGAGATTAGGAGTGCTCTCGAGCGCCCCAATGACATCACGTGAATTACCGTTCAGGTGTCATGATGAGCATAAAAGTGGAAAACAGAGATGACAAAAGATAGTATTGCGCTCGACTTCTTAGAGGCTGCTTTGATTCCCTTGAAACAGACGGGACATGCAAAGACGGGCACAAGAGAGTTGTCAAGACACCACAAACACCACGATGAGAAAAAAAAAATCATACGGCGGCGAAAATGAAGGTATACAAAAGAAAAAAAAATTGAGGCAGCTTCGCACTAGTGGTGCCAAGCCTGAAAGATGTGCGGAGCATTCTTCATTTCTTTCGTTTTCTTTTTTTTTTACTTTCTTTTTTTTATTTCTGTTCCAGTTTCCTACCTCTCCACTCTTTTCATTTCCATTGATTTTTTTCGCTTTCTCCCTCTTTCTTGCTTTTTCCATTTTTCCTTTTGCTCACATTCTATTTTCTGCCTGATTTCTCTTTTTTTTTGCTATTTTCTACGTGTTCTTGCCTGTGCTATGCCAAGCGACAACAGCATACGACAGCACGGGCCTCTAAAGTGCTCCACAGCTAATATCACCAAGGCACTCAAAGAACAAGAAGAAAGATTTCTCTTTGGTGTGAGCTCCCACTAAATAGGCTATAGATGCCCAAGCTATATGGGTTACACCTGCATTGCGCCAAAATTTGACAGTATACGATGGCAGCATAAGATGACACCATATGAAAACCAAGGCCCCTAAATTGCTCTGCCCTTTTAGGAACCCTGAATCAGTTTTCTGATGTTTTGTCAGCGTTTAGGCTAGAGCATCATCGAACCATTCACACCAGAAATTTAGTGACACACTTTGTACCAAGGCTGCTACAAACAAATTATACCACCACTGCCTGGCCTCCTCAACTCATCAGGCACACTGACACCGCTGGTGGTAGCAGGGCTCTCATGAGCGCCCTCAGCGTTTTGAGCTTTTACCAGTCAAGACCTCCGAAATCGCACGCCCACAGGTGTCTCGCAGTATCGGAGGACATCACATTCTGCACCCGGCAGCACACACGCTATCTGGTAACAGAGACAACAATGGCGAAGTGGTTCATATCTGCTCTGGCAGGTGCCGCCACCCTACCAGCCAATCTCACTTCCGCGCATTCTAGAGCCCATGACAGCCAATCTGATCAGAAGCCATGGTGACGTGGCTGCTGATTTGCTCTGCCCTAGTCAAGTGACCAGTGCTTGGCACTTTGTGAATGTGTGTTGACAATGCGTTTGGCAGAGTAGCAAGAACATAAAGCTTTAAAGCATTGTAATAAATTGCACAGCTTATGCAAAGAGCTCAAATCGGTCTCTAAATCCCCCTTGGGACTGTCTACCAGCCCAATGTGCTTGTACAAAATCACCAAAGCCATCTCAGGATCCCTTACTTATCAGTGTATTCTCTATTCTCAAGCAAAAGGTGACACTCATTAGTCAGTTGCACATGACGGTCTACGTGAGAGATACCTGGTCCCTCTCTTCACTCTTGTGTTAGTATTTTCACATTGTGCTGTTTTAACAGGAATAGCTACCAACTAGCTTAGCTATTGGTTACTCTAAAGTGTTAATTACCATCACTTCTCTATATATAAGAAGAAAGTGCATTAACCCATTGATATACATTACTCATTCATTTTGTTTATCTATCCACAATGTAGTAGGTCAAAGGCTCCACAAATACCCAATCCAACGAGTTGGGTGATCGCCCTTTAAGGGTGGAAGATGCCTGCAGCGTCGAGTTTAGGACCAGACTCAGAAATGTATTTCTGGGTCTCACAGTAGGCAATACTTTTGAGACTTCTGGAGGAAAGAAAGATACAACTTCCTGAGAGCTACTAACCACAGTCCATTTCGGCCGAGCGCATTCAGTTTCTCGAAAAAGCGATGGGCCGTGACATTTGCTGTTGACCATGTTCAATGCACCAAACCAGCCAGCACATTCCCAGCTAAGAAGGAAGTGGATGAAATTACCGAAACAGGAACTTGTCCACTTTGTACATGCATATGAATATGTCCCGAATATTTGCGGAGGATTCAAGGAATGCGTACTGGCCTTCACAGGTGCATTAGACGCGCGGCCGCATTAAACCTAATGCGATGGCTTACGCAATCAGAATATTTGCCAGGTTTCTAAGACTTATGCTCAAAAGTGGACGTCTAGGCGCTGAGTTCGTTGCATCAATGGGCATTCCAGCTCTTTCATTAGTGTTGAGAGCTGTGAAAGATTCTCAACATCAAAATTATGTTGTGCAAGACCTGCAAACAGGCGGATTGATCGCCAAACTCCAGCAAATGAGCTGCAGCCCAAATGGACAGTCTCCTATGAAGACAAGTCAAAGATAAATTCCCAGCACAATGTATTGCACTTTACACCGTGCGACTCAGCCATAAAAAATTAAAAGGGGGGCCACACCGGAAGTTGTTGATTTGTGGACACTAGGAGCGCACGCTGTCGTGAACTTCCAATTTTTTTTAATAAGCTGCAGCCCAAATGGACAGTCTCCTATGAAGACAAGTCAAAGATAAATTCCCAGCACAATGTATTGCACTTTACACCGTGCGACTCAGCCATAAAAAATTAAAAGGGGGGCCACACCGGAAGTTGTTGATTTGTGGACACTAGGAGCGCACGCTGTCGTGAACTTCCAATTTTTTTTTCTCATGAGCTAAGAAAAAGGAAAAAAAAAAACATGAGGTTGATGGAAATAGTGACATGAACTTGAGGAGGTAGCAGCTTCACAGGATATGGCCCTATAGGCATGCACTCTTTTATTTTTTTTCTCTATTGTTGAAGCGCATTCAGGTCTTTTAATTAAAACCCAAAATGAAAACTCCATAATGTCAAAATGACACTGAAAAGGAAGATCAACAAAGAGGGCGTGTGGCTGGCTGAGATCCCAAAAATCAGCAGTGGCTGAAATGGAGAGTTCATTACATAGACACAACGAGAAGAGCTCCCCTGATGAAGTGATGTATTTTAGATTCCCTGGTCAGGTTAAAATGAAAGACATACAGCGGCGCGATCACTCTTGTGAATTCAGTGGCGGCACTATCAGCGCGAGCAAAACCAGGCGGCGGCGCACAGCTCTAGTCTGAAGAGATCACTAGACCAGTTTGATATAATACCAATTCTTTAGACCTCTGGCAACGCACTTCACTGCATTACACCACTCCAATGCTTTGGTTAGTATGTGGGGTTTAATTGTGCCACAACCACCATATGATTATGAGATACGCCGTAGCAAAGGGCTCCGGAAATTTAGACAACCTGGGATCCTTTTAACGTGCACCCAAATCTGAGCACACGGGCCTACAGCATTTCCGCCTCCATCGAAAATGGAGCCACCGCAGCCGAGATTCGATCCTGCGACCTGGAGGTCAGCAGCCGCATACTTTAGCCAGTAGACCACTGCGGCGGGCTGCTGTGAACCTTGCTAAATCAAATTCTCCTGAAGCACACATGGAGAACTGAGACCCCAGTTGCAGATGCGATCCTATGTATTTACGCATGAAATTCGATCCATTCTTTTTTGCAAAGCCTGTATCCCCCATGTGATTTAACTGCGTGCCCAGCAACATCTCTTGAAACGGTGCCATTCAGTTCGCAGGCACAAATGTCTTTCATGAAAAGACAGGCAAATGCAGCATGATTGATAGATATGTGGGGATCAACGTCCCAAAACCACCATATGATTATGAGAGACGCCGTAGTGGAGGGCTCCAGAAATTTCGACCACCTGGGGTTCTTTAATGTGCACCCAAAGGGCAAATGCAGCACTACTACACTAAAGTCTTGCTACAACAAACCCGGATATAACAAATATCGGTTGTAACTAAGCAACTGAAAAGTACTGTTGCATTAGACATAGTGGTAGAAAAATATATCTTTATAGCAAATTTTAAATATAGCAAACTTTTTTTGAAGAAGATGCAAATTCATGATAGTAACAAGGTTTGAGATTATAAGGAGAGACAAGCTTGCAGGAGTGAAGTGTTCGGTGCACTAAATGTGGTGGCTAGTCTTAGTATCGCAATCCTATTTGTTGCTATCACATTCGCGGCATTGCCTTCGTGGAGAAACTGGCTTTTCTCAGCTAGGGTAACACAACCAGCATGGGATCACAGCATACCGCAGCTTTGTAAAGAATAAAGTTGAGCTGTGATGATGACGTATGAATGAAGCTCGAGTAAGTTTGAAATGTTCACACAGTCTTTGAAGCAGCCAAGCAATTGAACGGAATGAATGAATTCTACTGAAGTATCAATCATTGGAATATACTTTAAATTAGGCACATGGAAGAGCACACGATACACTGATACAAGTGACTTTTTTCGGCACGCTGTTAAAACATAATATAAACCAAAAGTACATTAGATGAGCGCAGAGAAAGAGCCTTGAAAGACCTCAGACAACACAAAAAAAAGTCTTACGGATGCCCCAAAGAAGTACTTATGTCCCACATCCAATAAAGGAAGTCGTGTGGATGTCCCGTAGGCTTCAGCGAACGGATGTCCATTAAATATTACAGACGATGACGTGAATGGATGGATGCATGCGTGAGATCTGCCTGCATCCACTCATTCATGTCCCTTTATGGGATGTTTAATGAACATGGTATATATAATCTCGTGTGGTTTCAATTAATCTACTAACTGATATTTTAACATGTATATGCACGTTGCTTCATGAATTAGTATACATTTTCAGCGATCATTTTTTAACGCACGTGTACATATATATAGAACTTGCGTAACCCTTCATAAATACACACATAATAAATAAGCAGGTGAGAACACATAATGAAGCAGTGTTTTCAAGATTTGGAAAATAACAAGCAAAGAAGAAGGCAACATAACCACTGAACATGTTATAGGCCTACAGTCACGTGGAAAAGCAGGAGTGCATTGCATTGCTGGTAGAGTACATTGAGGGGTATTAAAAACATGTAAAGAAATGCAAGACTTTCAAAGAGACAGTTCTTTCTACTAACTAGCATACATCCTCCAAATGCTGCATGTACTGGTAATTTCTGAATACAGTGGAATGTACAACATCCAAATATAATCCCATTATGATCCCAAGATGTCCTATGTGCAGGACTTCCCAAGGATCTCGTTTTTTGTCTCATTTTGGAGCCTTCATTGAGGTGTCCGGGAATTCTTTGGGACATCCTTAGAAGTTCCCACATATCCTAAGCAGCTCATCCTAGGGGAATCCAAAGGATGTATCTGTGTTGTCTGGGAGTACAAGTAAAATAAGTGAAAGGGTTGAATACCTGTCCAGATAATTTCTATGCATCTTTTGTGACGCGTTTGAACTCTTGCAATAAACAAACAAGAAGCAAAAAGCACAATTAGCTAATAATGTAAAAAGAAAGTGATTTGTGGCAAACCTGAGCTCATTTGCAGTATCACAAGCATCTGTTTTCTCCTTGGTGAGCTGTTCCAAAGCTTCTTCCAGCTCCTAGTGGTTTCCCACAAAAGTTGACAAGGTTATTGTAGTATGTGTTATCACAGATGTTTGGTAGTCCAGGTATTGCACAAAATAAGAATGCAGACTCAGAAATGTTGACTGCTTTTAAAAATGTAGCAAGACTCCACAAGTGTTTTGAAGTTGTTCAGCATCAAAGCTTGCTACAGCATGCAGAAAGGTTTGTGGCACCTTGAAAACACAAACATCACTGGCTCCATAGACAATCTACTGCTATTACAGTTTTAATCAAAGCACTGCGGCTGCAACAGTCACACGTGCTCGCATGCAAGCGATTAGCCAAAGCGCAGTCAATGCATGAGGAATGAAACTTTTGTGGCAAGCTTAGCTTTTGTGCCAAGCTTAGCTCAATTGTTTAAATAATTGAGCATAAACAGTGAAACATGTATCGATATTGCATTTTATGGCTAGACTGCTAAATGTCCCACATCAGCTTGCGAACATGCTAGAACAAAACGTTATGATAAGAACTAGGTGAGGTGCTGAGAATTCATTTTGCACAAAGTGGAAGTAGACAAAGATGTCAGATCATGTCACAATGACAACTGGCCTTCTAATCTGTGTGCTTGGCCTATATATAAAATTCACAATAAACATTATCAGGCTGAGTACGAGTGGCTGATATGCTCAGCTATCATACAAAAATGTTTTTTAAATAAATACTAGGTTATACGTTTAAAAACAAAAAAAAGCCACAAGGGCATGAAACGGGTATCTTCTGTTCAACTGTACTGAAAAAAATTTTGCCTCCATACATCAGTTTTCGAGGGAGAGAGACAGCCACACATTGAGAGGCTTAATTTTTGTTCCATACTGGCTTGAAAAACACAAATTTTGAAGTTGAGATCATTAGTGTTCTCAATGATGGATTTTGGCCGATTCATCCTGGAATGAGCTATGGCCACATAAGCACTGTCTCTGCTCCTTTTGATCAAAGCTGGGTAGTAATCAGCACAACACGTATATTCAAGTGACAAGCTTATTATACACCCATGGCTGCTACAATACAGACACTCAAGTTATATGAGGATTTCCCTTAGGCCCGTATTCCCAAACCATCCTCAAATTTCACTATTGGTTGTAAGCCTCTGTTTTGCTTGATGCACAAAGCAGGCCAGTATTCATGAACCAATCTTCTTGTGATCTTTTACATTGTTATTAACTTTTATGCCTTTCTAACACAAGTAGAGGGTACAGGAAACTTGAGGGATACTCGTGTAAAGGCCCAGGCTGATTTGTGAAAACAGGCCATAGCTGCAGGCGCACAGTAAATGAGACATCTATAGCCCATATCACCAGATCACGGCTGTGATCTCCCGTCTCGCATACCACTCAACGAGTTTGCAGCCGTTTCATAATCACAAGTTTTTCAAGCAGGTGACTCAGCTGATCAACATCTACCTTCAGCTTCTTTTCCAACTCGGAAGCATGAGTCTCCTTCTCAAGCAGCAGCCAAGCAGCTCTCTCCCGTTCTTCCACTGGAATTGCTTCCGCCTGGGCTAGGGCTTCCCTGGTGACACACAAGCAGGTCAGCGCACACCGATATGCCATCGACACAAGCATGGGCTCACCAGCACAAATATTCAAGCACACCATCATGCAGGCCTTTGCCACAGCTACTTAGATTGCCATGCCAACCATAGAATTTCCTGAAATTAACTAAAGTGGATTCTGGCGCTGTGATTGTTTAGCGAACATGGGAGTAATGGGAAGTACACGAATTCGCTAAGTCTTCATGCTTGCGGGCTTCGAACGCACTTGTTGCTTTGTTTATTGCAGTGTTTTGGTTCCGTTTCGAATAAAGGAACAAACCATTTTGAACCTCACGACCAGATTTGGATTGGTAAGCCTAAAAGGCGAAGGTGGTGAAGCGTAACTGATGCCGAGGCAAAGCAGCGCATATTGATGAGAACAGACAGATACAAGGAAAGATAGAGACACAGTGTGTGTTCGTTCTCATTGATACATGCCGCTTTCACCTTTGCATGAACAACCAACTAGCTCGAAATGTGTTATTCCGTAACTGATAAACTATTGCAGAATGTTGTTTCATGACAAAGCATCATCAAGCCACGTGAAGACAACCAGAGCCAAAAGTGCAAAAATTAGACAAATCCGTGTTTTAGCCACCATTACCATGCTCACTGAAGTGCAATACACTGCAGCTTTTATAGACACTAGCGCCAGAGTTCACTCTACTGTACTTATATAGGTAACATCTGAGCATGCAATGAGGTTATTTTTAATAAGCAATAGCGCAGCTGCAGCTTATAGAAGGTTTCGCTTGTCGGACCTAAATGTGCCATGAACCACCCCTTGTGTTTGATGATAAAACACGTGTGGCAGACGGCAGGCGATGCGGTCATGCTGTGAACAGCTCAGCCAAATTTTAATCAAATGCAACAAGAAGTGTTCAGAAGGGTGTCTTGTTGGGAGAGTTGGTAATAATCCATTGTTAAATGTAGCACAAAAGACACGAAAAAGGGGAGCACAAAAGGAGTGTTCACAAGCAAGGCACAAAGATGCCACTTCCTAAAAGGCCCTCTCTTCAATACAAAACCCACGTTCATGCAGTTCAGATGATGATGATGATATATGGTGTTTTTGGCGCAAGGGCCATTTGATAGCCAAAGAGCGCCAGTTCATGAGACAGGAATGTGGACAATGGTTGTGATTAGCGGCTGTATAAGGGCCATAAAATTCCTTGCAGTAAAGCGGGTAAAAACATACCAGTAATAAAATCATGACTATGCCGTGAAAGGTGTGCATGGTGTGAATAGGTGACAAAAGTTGGTGATAATGAAAAACGATGGTGGACATGTATGGCATTAGCACAAGTACCTCACCGGTTCATACCCTTGCGTGTAAGGGCCGTGAGGCAAGTGCTTTCCTGTGTAGCCACCGCAGCAAAAACCTCCCTGGAGAGGTCGTGCTACGGGATGCCCGGGTATATGATATGAAAATTGCGAATTTCTTTTACAAACGCTAACAATGATTTATGACTAAAAAGCGGTTCCCTACCGACGAACATTGCAGGGTGTAAAGGTATATGTTGTCGGTAGGGTAATGGAAAATGCTGTTTTCTTATAGTTTCTAAGTGTTTACACTGGATTAACACGTGAAGGACGGTTAATGGTTCACCACATCTGTCACACAATGGTGGATCGCCACCAGACAAAAGATATGTGTGTGTCGTGTATATGTGTCCTATCCTGAATCTCGTTAGTATAACCTCTGTATGACGCGATTTTGATACCGGCAGCCAATGACCAAGCTGTGGCTTGATAATGTGTAGTTTGTTTTGTGTGTGTGTATCCTACTTGCTCTGCCAGTAGTGCCTGATGTTTCGTTTGAGAGACGGCTTAAGATCAAGGGCCGGGATTAATATGGGTGTAGGGCCAGTGCTTTTGTGGACGGATGCAGCAAGCTGATCCGCCCTCACATTGCCTTGGATCTCACGGTGCCCTGGCACCCAGCACACTACAACATGTTGTTTTAGTGTGTAGAGTGTGCACAAAATGGAGTAAAGTGAGACAAGGACCGGGTTTTTTTGTTTTTTAGGACTGTGCAGAGCCGTTACCACACTGAGGGAGTCTGTATAAATTACTGCTTTTTGTATTTGTAGTTGTTTGATGTGTTTAGCTGCCACAAGTATCGCGTAAGCTTCTGCTGTGAAGATACTTGTGCTTGGATGTAGAGGGCCAGCATCCGAAAAGGATGGGCCGACAGCAGCGTAGGACACAGAGGAGTTGGACTTGGAAGCATCTGTAAAGAACTCAAGACGTGTGTATTTGTGTTGAAGTTCCAGGAAGTATGTTATGATATGGGCAATAGGTGCATGTTTTGTAACTTCTAGAAAGGACACATCGCAGTCTATGGTCTGCCATTGCCACGATGGCGGATATGCTACAGGAGCCATTAAACTGTGTTCTAGTGAGACTCCAGTTTCCTCGGCTAGACTTTTCAGGCGAACTGAGAAGGGCTGCCTCATCGAAGGCCTGTTTTGAAACAGAAATGAGCTCGACAAATCATTAATAGTAGAGTATGAGGGGTGCTTTTTATCTGCTTTCACCTTAAGGAAATAAACAAAAGACATATAAGTTCTCTGCAGATGAAGCGACCACTCATTTGACTCAACATAAAGGCTTTCTACGGGGCTGGTGCGAAAAGCACCCGTAGAAAGGCGGATGCCCAAATGGTGCACGGGGTCCAGCATCTTTAAAGCACTTTGAGTTGCAGACTGATAAACAACGGCCCCATAATCTAAGCGGGTGCGAATGAGGCTTCGATACAGATTTATGAGGCATTGCCTATCACTACCCCAAGTAGTACGTGACAGCACTTTGATAACATTCATGGCTTTTAAACATTTTATTTTTAAATTCTTGATGTGCGGAACGAAGGTCAGCTTGTTGTTCAAGATTAAGCCTAAGAATTTATGTTCGGCTTTGACGGACAGACGTTGGCCGTTCAGTCGAATGTCAGGTTCAGAGTGCATGCCTCTCTTTCGAGAGAACAAGACACACGTGCTTTTTTTGTGGGTTAAGTCGAAATCCGTTTTCATCTGCCCATTTGGAGACCTTATTTAAGCCCAGCTGAACCTGCCGCTCACACATGGCCAAGTTGCATGACTTGAAGCCAAGCTGAACGTCGTCGACATAAGTACAATAGAACATATTGCGGGGAATGGACAAGTGCAAAGAATTCATTTTAATAATAAAAAGTGTGCAACTAAGCACATCACCTTGTGGCACGCCTGTTTCCTGGACAAATGTTTGGGAGAGCACACTGCCCAGACGGACACGGAATGTCCGGTTTGACAGGTAACTTTCGATTATATGAAACATTCTTCCGCACACACCAAGGTGGGACAGGTCTCTTAGAATTCCGTAACGCCATGTAGTATCATAAGCCTTTTCGATATCGAGGAACACAGAGAGGAAATATTGTTTATGGACGAACGCGTCTCTGATCTGTGCCTCGATACGAATAAGGTGGTCTGTGGTGGATCTACTTTCTCGAAACCCGCACTTAAATGGGTCGAGCAAATTATTTGTTTCAAGAAAATGTACAAGTCGGCAGTTTATCATTTTTTCGAAGACTTTGCACAAGCAGCTTGTAAGTGCTATAGGCCTATAACTCGAGGGTAAAGAAGGGTCCTTGCCCTCTTTCAAAATGGGAATAACAATAGCCTCTTTCCAGGAGGTAGGAATAGTGCCAGAAGACCAAATAGCATTGTACAAACAAAGTAAGGTTTTTCGGGTTTCGTTTGGTAGGTTTTTTAACATTTCATACATCACACGGTCAGAACCTGGGGCAGAAGTACTGCAGCAGTTTAGAGATGTTTGGAGCTCAGCTAGATTGAAAGCTTGGTTATATGCCTCGTATCTAGTGGATTTGTGTTCGAGTTTCTGCTTTTCTATTCTTGTTCTGTATTTTTGGAAAGTGTCAGTATAGTGGGACGAGCTGGATACCCGTTCGAAGTGTGCACCGAGGAAGTTTGCCTGATCTTCCAAGGTATCACCCTGAGTGTTTACGAGTGGAAGTGTGTATACTTGTTTTCCTGCTATCCTACCGACCATGTTCTAGACTTTAGCCTCCTGTGTGTATGAATTAACCCCCGATAAAAACTTCTGCCAGCTTTCTCTTCTGGCCTGCCGACGCGTTCTCCTGCCTTGAGACTTTATTTTCTTGAAGGTTTCAAGATTTTCGGCTGTCGGTGAGTTCCGAAGCAGCCTCCAAGCTCTGTTTTGCTGTTTGCGCGCGTTTCGGCATTCAGAATTCCACCATGGCACACCTCGTTTTCCAAGGTGTCCATTTGTTTGTGGGATGCATTTTGTTGCAGCATCAATCAAAAACGTTGTGAAGTAGTTCACAGCAACATCAATGTTCAAAGTACAGATGTCATTCCAACCTAGACAAGCGATAGTATGAAACTGTTCCCAGTCGGCTCTGTTTATGAGCCACTTGGTGGCTCATAAACAGAGCCGTTTACCACTTGGAACACGTGGTGGACACTCAGTTACTGTCGTTGTGCTCAAAACTACGGGGAAGTGGTCACTTCCGTACAGATTACTGACGACTTTCCACTGGAGTAGAGGCACAAGAGATGGAGATACTATGCTCAGGTCTATGGAGGAGTAGGTGTTATTAGCGAGGTTATAATAGGTTGGTTCTTTTCGATTTAGGAGACACGCGCTCGACGAGATAAGGAACTGTTCGATCAGTCGACCTCGCGCGTCATACCGAGAGTCACCCCATAACCTGCTATGCGCATTAAAGTCTCCAAGGAGAACATAAGGCTCCGAAAGTTCATCAATTAGAGAGTGTAAATCGCGTTTTTGGAGCTGATAGCTAGGAGGAATGTAAATACTGCAGATTGTGATCAGTTTATCAAAAAGAACCGCTCGAACAGCCAGTGCCTCAAGGGGTGTTTGGAGTTGTAAGTGTGTGCATGCTATTCCTTGATTCACTATGATGGCAACACCTCCGGATGATGTCATAGCATCAACACGGTCTTTTCGGAAAATAACATATTTACGAAGAAAATTTGTGTGTTTTAAATTAAGGTGTGTTTCTTGTACACACAGCACTTTTGGCGAGTGTTCATGTAAGAGTTCTTGGATGTCGTCAAGGTTTCTGAGAAGGCCCCTGACGTTCCATTGTATAATTTGAGTGTTCATGGTGAATGTGAAATAGTGCTGTGTGTACGAAAAGCGAGTGGCTGTTTAGACGGGGAGTTTGAGTTCACTTAACAGGGCCATCACCAGGCCCTGTTATTTGCTTTTTTGTTTTCTTGGCGCGCTCCAAGGAGCCACGCCGCTCTTTCGGCACCAAGGGTGCCGATGTATCCATTGCCTCCTCGGAGGCACTGGATGCCCGCACATGCGGGCTGTTAGTTCGAATTTTGGGCCTCGCCTGGTGAGGGGAGGCCTTGAGACCCGAAGACTCTGGAGTCTCCGGTCTCTGTTTGGGAGTAGGCGGTGTAGCCTGGGCTACAGCCGCCTTGGGGGCAGGTGCCACAACCGCCGGCTCGGAATGCGCGGGACGAAGGGGTGGCGAGGGCTGGTGCGGCGGTGCCCCCTGACGCGCCGCATCAGCGTATGTAGGTCCATAGAATGGAGCGACTCTTCGCCGTGCTTCCTTAAATGTAATATTCTCCTTCACCTTCAACGTAATTATTTCTTTTTCTTTTTTCCAGTATGTGCAGGAGCGTGAATATGCGGCATGGTTTCCTTCGCAGTTTACACAATGTGGCGGTTGTTTGCAGTTCTCAGACACGTGGCCTAGGACTACACATTGCGCACAAGTCTGGCGGCCACGACAGGTTTTAGAGCCATGGCCATACCTCTGGCATTGGAAGCAACGGCGAGGGTTTGGTATGTACGGCCTGATAGATGTCTTTGTGTACCCTGTTTGAATTGATTCCGGTAGTTTACTGGATGCAAATGTAAGTATTAAGTGTTTTGTCGGTGTTTCTTTATTGTCTCTTCTGATGATGATTCTCTGTACATTAGTGACATTTTGGCTCTTCCAACCCCTCCAAAAGTTCAGTCTCAGTCAAGTCAAGTAAGTCCATGTCGGATACCACTACGCGAGTTGTGTTCATTGATCTATGTGGTGTTACGGTTATTGGTATGCCACCGAAATCTGAGAGACGGTCTAGCTTTTTAAATTGTTCTTTGTCACGGATTTCGAGGAGAAGGTCTCCACTAGCCATTTTGGTTACCTTGTATCCTGTGCCAAGAGTTTCGGTAAGACATCTAGAGACAAGGAAAGGAGAGACGGTCCTGGCTTGCTTTTCAGTTTTTTCACAGTGAATGACGTGGAAATGGGGAAAAGTTTCTATTGGCATGGTTGAAGAGATTTATGTCGTCGGTGCGTACCCGCTTTAGGCCGGTACGATCAGATAGTAGAGGGAATGCGCCATGCATGCCGGTCTTATTTTTGTTCAGCAGCGTTGGCAGCCACCCACCACGGAGCCCAACAAGGGGACGCTGCAAGTTTACAGGTGCTGAAAGCTTGCAGACGTCAGCCGTACAACACTGCCATAACCCAATGCGCCTAGACCAAGGTAGGCTATTTGCACAGGGTTAACCCTTGCCGCCAGGAAAATTGGAAGTAAACAGAAGAGAGTAGAAGACAGGACAGATAGATAGTGAGAGATAAAGACGAAGATGTAGGCAGAGAGGGATAGGAAAAGGCGACTGCCGATTTCCCCTGGGTGGGTCAGCCCTGGGGTGCCGTCTACGTGAAGCCGGGGCCAAAGGGGTGTGTTGCCTCTGCCAGGGGGCCTTAAAGGTCCAATCACCCAGCGTCGGCTCAACCCCCAGGATCCCCTTTTCCCCGGACACGGCAAAGCTACGCACGGCTAGGCGTGGGAGGGAGTAGAAACTCCCCCGTTAGCTCGGGTCCGTGGTGTCGCTACACACCAAACGCCTACTTGCGCAGGCGCCCCTGCGGGGTCATGCAGTTCAGAGAGCCGTCATAAAGTAAGTTCTGCACCACACAGAAGATTCCAACTACTGGCTGGTAGTTGGTGAAAAGCAATGGCGGCATTCAAAGGAGATGTGCTTTTTTCCACAGGGTGGCACCATGAGCCGGGTGACGGGCTCTACAGTCTGCTAACATTATAGTATAAATGTGACATGTCCACCAGCGAGAGTGTCGAGAAGAGAGAGCAATCGCCCTTAATGATGCACACCCAAAGCCGTGGTGTGCACCTAACGTAGCTTCATGCCACGTTGGCCTTCAGTGCTTAACTTCTAGTGCTCTTGTCCGGACAAGCGAAGAAAGTGCTTACTGCATTCAACGAAATGCCGCAACCCCTCTTGTACTTGACGGCCTAAAAAAAGTTTTGTGGCGATTGATTCGTGAGGCAATGAACTCTGATAATAGGTTCAGTCAATGTTAACAATAAAATATGGTTCAGGACCCCTTGACGCGATGAGATATGACATCATGATAGTTTCAGTAACCCAAACAGAACAGAGTCAAGGCGTTCGTTTTGCTCTTTTTCGGGTGAATACAAACCACAGCTATTATACATGGAAACAGACTGCAATGAAGAGCATCTTGGTATCTGCAGGTCACAAGATGTCATGGCTCACATTCGTACCTTTTAGCAACAACTTGACTCAGCTGAGACCACACGAGACAAGATAGTCACTCTTCGGCATCACAGAAAGCAAAAAAAAACATCCTAAGTGCGACAAAATGATGATTGTGACTTACTTAAGTGATGCTATTTCACTCTTTGCTTGTTCCAGATCACTGGTAGTGGCTGAAGCAAGCTGCTCGAAATTCGTCACACCTTCATAAAGTCGTTCATTCTCAGCCTGCAAGCAATTGAACTCCATTTTTACACCAGACCACAAATTCCAAGATAGCAGCAGAATTACAAATACGACAGACAAACTACAAAATAATACCACCGTAATGAATTTCAATACACACTTCAGCAAAAGTTCCAGAAAAATAACAGTCCCTCCAAACTTGTTTGAGAAGGAGTAGGCAAGCCCACCTCCCAAGACAAGTTTGAATAATGCACAACCCCCCCCCCCCCCCCCCCCCTTTTGCTGAAGCCTCAAATTAAAACACTACTATAACACATATTCATACTAAAGTAGCCAGACCTCCCAGAACTCTTCCTCACAGGAACCTTAATTTATAAACAGCATTAAGCAAAACTTGAAAAACCAACAAAGACCGCCAGGCCTGGATGCTACGCGCAGCAGTCACAGCTAACTCTAGAAGAGTGACCATTCATAGCCTTTATTAAACACCCTTTGGGTAACTGCTACAAGCACAAGCATACTTGCAGGGTGCCCACTACACCATATTATCATTTTTCTTTAGTAAGGAGGCATTCAAAATACCATCTTTCATCATTCCTTGGAGAAGCATGGTACTCGCTACACACTTGCAAGAAATTAAGTGCAATTTTTTTATGCTGTGGTTAACCACGAAGTATTACACCTTAACTTTTTGTACGGGGTTGGGGCATTCGACAGCCCACTCGTTCCGCAATTCGCATTGCAACATCTGGATGTTCCTTTGCTGTTCTAAAACTCTTTATTGCTCATATTAACACCAGTCGTTTTCCGACATTAAGACTGCCTAAGGCCAGTTTGCAATATAGAGTTTCAAGCACTGGTGTGGCTCTGTGGTAGAATACTGGGCTGGCATGCAGGGGACCTAGCTTGGAATTCCTTTGTGTCCTTGGTGCCTTCTATAGAGTTTTAAATGCGAAGCTTTTTTTTGTGTACTGCAGGCACTTTTGCCATCTGTTTGTCTGTCTTGCCACTTACGTCTGGGTGCTTTCATGTTCACCCCCTTGGGTTGAACCAAAACTTGCATGAGAGGGTAAGATGGTTTGACGAATATGACGCGCTGGCCAAGACATGAATAATGTCATAATCTCGTCGCGCACATCGTCAAACACTTGCCGCCAGGCAGTGACACATACTTGGGGGCGGGTATGTGCCACTGGTATGCGAGTATGTGCCACAGGTAATTGACAGTTTATATCTCTTAAGTAACGAAGAGAACACACATGGGCAGAAAAAGCTGACATCGGCAGCGTTGACCCGACAAATTCAAAGAATAAATGTGAAGGCCTAGGCAGGAATCGAACCCAATCAATTATCAGACAATCAATTGTTCTACCACCATGCAAGGTCTCAGAACTACTTTTTAAATATTCGTGAATGGTGAATTGTAGTTGCAGTGCTCGGGAGCCATCTAATTTTTTAAACATTCGATATGTACTTCCGTGCTACAGCCATCATGCCGGGTTAATGTCAATTGCAGTTGGGTGCCCTGTACCGAAGTTGATTTATGTAGCAGCATACAGGAGCGGCCGCTAGATAAAAAAACAAGGTGTGATCTGTTGCATCGCGTCGCCATCAATGGCCAAATGTGTATTGGCAGAGTTGAGTTTCGGCCGCCTTATCGGGGAGGGCGCCGACACTCCAACCGTTAAAGCGGATGGCACTTCGTGTTTCAATGTGGTTGCGTGAGGATTTCTACATGTCCGTGTGCTTTTAGAGTGCTTTCTTGTGCTTTTTCCTGTGTGCGATTGTTTGTGGAGGGCAGTTTGCTTCATGTTTCCTGTGATCAAGTACGATTCCATGGTGCGCGTGCATGGCAGACTGTTCTTTAGTGCTGTGACACCGAGAAGCTGTTGTGTGCTGCTGAGCAGCTTGAATGCGGAAAAAAGACGCGACATTGAAGCGCAACATATTTCCCTGCGATCTACACTTTCAAAAAGCACATCAGGATGCGTATTATTGGTAACAAAGCACTTATTTTAGTCACAAACGAGCACTGAAGCAGACGCGTGCCGCTGCCTCCGGGCGACATCAAGCCACCCTGCCAAATGTTCCCTTCAAGGGTGCGCGCTATGTAACAAGAAAAGAAGCATGAAAAGGCACTTAGGGCATGCTCTTACCCTCTACACACTCGACAGCCAACTAGCACAGATGAGGAGAAATCGAGACATCCCAGTGGGGCCTCTTTTGGGGCGACCGTTTTCGCAGCCGAACCGGCGAGACAAAACTCTTTCCCCAGGCTGCTGCCCTGGTACATGCTACATGCAGTACAATTACTTGGAATGTTTGCGAAACCAGGAAGGATCCAAACTAGAAATGTTAGAGGGTAGTACGGGTGGCGAAGATCGGGCAAGAAGAAGTTGTGATGTTTGAGCAGTGTGAGTGAGTCGTGTAGTGCAGTCAGTCGATGTTGATGAATCTAGTTACGACACCGCTGAACAACTTTGTTGAGTGTCGCCGGGACAACGACCAGCACTGGAGTTTCTTTCAATGCTTGCTTGAAGAGAATTATGTGTGCTTTTGCGGTGCGTTTTAGTGGGCTGTTATGTCAGTTCTTAGAATCTGCCCGGCGATTGCTTCCTTATGAACGGAATCAGTGACCCTCTTCATTTTAAGCGAGTCAAAAGGGCAGCATTGATGAAGAGTATTGAAGCCTATACTCCACGAATGACTGGCCCTCCAAGGGCAAACTGTTCACATATTAGGCGCGATAGGTACTGCTAATAACGATTAGGAATTGAACCTATGATGTGGAGCTACGAAACAGGTTATTAACGGCCTACTGTGCCACGGAGAGATGCGTGCGAAAGCGTCTATCCTGGGAGAAGTGGTGGACCCAGTGCGGGCGCAAGGTGAACTAGGCCCATCCGGCCGCTTCAACGATACACACCAGGCCGCACCTTGGTTTCTAATCCAGCGGCCGTGGTCCAGGGCCACCATCCTCCAGAGCACTAGCACTTCATATCAGCTTATTGCTTCTGCTGTTGCTAAAGAGACTTATGTTCCTCTTAGCATTGCTGCACAAATGCAAATAGCTTTATATAAACATCTGCAACTTTTCAACATATGTCTATGCACGTAACATTTGTACATATATACAGCATTCTTTCCTGACATGTCCTACAATAAAAAAAAAAATTGCATCTTACCCATGCACGCTTCGCATAACGTCGATTCCCAAGGTATGCAAGATCTGCCGATTTTTTTTTCTTTTTTTGCGTGATAATGATTGGCGGCGAACAACTACGACGCACGCGACCCTTCATAACAGCTTTTGCTGTAAAATATAAGACTTTTTGCTCAAATGTACCCCGACCATGCACACAGCCCTCTAGTAAGCCTACCTTCAGAGCCCATATGGTCGAGGCATAGTTCACACACACTCCGTTCAGCCGTTGCAGCTCCATGTCCTTCTGAACACCTTCGTCGTCAAGCTCAGCCACCCTGTTGCGCAGGTGCGTCGTGTTAAAGTGTAGATCGCCTGTTCAGAGAGGGCAAACATCAGAGGAGCATGCAGGCGCATTCTCACTTATGCTCTGTTTGTATCTACTTATCCCTGCGCCACCAGCAGAACAATAGACTTTATAAATGCTGGCAGATCACATGAAACTTAAAGCAAGGGCAAGAGTTAGAATAAATTAAACTGTATTTTGTAGCAATCGTAACTACAGCATAAATAATTATCCAATTACTGAACGTTCAATAAGGTTACATTTCTTTATAAACTGAATTCAGCGACCCACTCAAATTACTTTCAATAGTTATCGGCTGGAAATATACATTCCTAAAAAATCACAGCATATCCACAGAGTGAATGATGTTGAGTGGGGCGAAGCGTCAGTCAGCCCGTTTGTGCATCCATTCATCTGTCCGTCCGTCTTCTAGTCTGTCTGTCCATCCGTCCGTCCATGCATCCATCTAGTGAACACTCCAAGTACCGCCATCTCGCATCTCACATCTCCAATATAACATGCCCACTCCGCATGTCCATCCATCCGTCCGTCTGTCTGCTTGTTTGTCTGTCTGCCCGTCCATGCTTCCATCCGCGTGTCCATCTTGTGAACACTCCAAGTACCACCATCTCCCATCTCCATCCCCTGTGGCACATACCCTCTCTAACCTCTGTTGTGGTATGTGCCACTGGTGGCTACCGTTTTTTCCGGTGTATAAAGCGCACCTTTGTATAAGACGCACCCCCCAGTTTTCGCAAGTTTTCATGCAAAAATTAATATATCAGACGCACCGGTGTATAAGACGCACCTACATTCACTCACTTTCCGCAAAGAAACTTCATAACGTGCAGTTGAGCGAGCATTGTCAAATGCCGTACATACGTTTCTGAGCGCCAGTCCGTAAGAAAACTTATACTACACCGAACTTGTGAGAAAAAATAATGCGCACCCATTGAAACGTTCCGCACGACTGCAGGAAAACATTTTATTCCTCAAAGCCCTCAAAGTCCTCGTTCTCCGACGCGCTTTGGAATAGTTCAGCGAGCTCTGGCGGCAGTGACACTGGGACTTCCTCTGTTTCCTCTTCGGAATCGCTGCTGCTGCTGCTGTCGTCGTCGTCGTCGTCGAGGCCAGGGGCTGAGGATGCTAGCAGGCCTGCCTTGCGGAACCCCGCAGTTACGGTGGCCTGTGACACCGCACACCAGGCTTCGCGCACCCACTTTGCAACCTCGCAAAACGAAGCACGCCTCATGCGTCCAGTTGCGGTATAGCTATGCTCGCCGTCGGACATCCATGACTCCCACAGGCGCCGCAGAATAGCCTTGAAACTGCGGTTCACCGAGATGTCCAACGGCTGAAACATTTTTGTCATCCCGCCTGGGATAACCACAGCGGTGCAGTTTTTTGCCTTGATACGCTTCAAAGTGAGCTCCGTTATATGCGCCTGCATGCTATCCAATACCAGGAGGCCCTTCTTCGCATGAAAGAAACCGTCCGGTCGCTTAGAAA